GACATCAAATTTCAATATGAAATTTTTGAAAATGGGACAAATTTCATAAATTCTGCCTTTAGGTGTCCCGCACTGTACGATATCCAAAAAAATAAAAAATTTCAACATTAATTGTTATTATTATTCATATATATATATTTATTATTAATTAAATGTCATCATTATTGTTAATTTTAATGTAGGCAATAAATTTAAGCTCCGTAATATGTAACTGATCGTGGTGGCGATACTAGGTGGGTCTGCATTATAAAAGTATCGGAGCATCATTTTGCCTCGAACGATCACGGGTGTATTTCTATATTAATTGATCAGGTCGTGATCTATCATATCAGTTAGTATGTGATATTAATGGCGTAGCATTTTCTATTAGTAGTCATTAGTAGTAGTATTTAAGTGGAGCGGATTTTCCCAAGATAAAGTAAGTTCTGTCTTTTCTGGTTGAGACGACAGTCACGAGAAATTTTCGTACATAGCACCAAGTCTGTACTCAGCGATTTTTTCCGGGCAATTTCTGTTTTTTTTTCATCCGGTCGTCCAAGTAGCCATCAAAGCAACACTCTCGGTAAACAGTAACATTATAACACATAACTGTTTTCCATTTGTAACAATCTCGATGAGAGACAAAAATGTCTGCGCATTATCTTTTGTGCTTAACGCTTGTTTTTTTTTTGTTTTTTTTCTACCATCAACTATATATAAATTAAACGTATCAGAATAATAAATTTGAAAATATTTTAACATAAATTTATTTGGATTTAAAAGTTTAAAAATTCTAAAACTTTCAGCAGCCATTAATACAGTGCTACAACTTTGATAGTTTTAATAGTAGGTTTTTTTCAAGAGTACTTTTTTCGGTCAAAAACAATTTTGATCTGAATATATATTAACTTGATTTGAATTTGGTATCGATCTAGAAAGATGTATTATCTGAAAATAATATGAAATGCGGCACCAATAATTTCTATATTGGTAATAATAAAAATTTAATTGCATACATATTAAATTAATTATGTTTGATTGAAAAATTGATTAAGAAATTGGTCAAGTAATTTATCGGCTATAGCCGACTATAATCGGCTACTAGTTGATAGTCTATGATAGCTGACCGATAGCTGACCGAACCCATCCCTAATTAAAACAGTCAAACCTCTCTAAGTGCAATAATGCATATTCATGAGATAAAATAGGGTCGAGCATTTTGTGCGAAAATTAAGAGTATTTATGAAAATCAAGAAATAAAAGAATAATAAAATCTAAAATAGATAATAAATTTTTGCGTATAAAATAAATCAAAAATAAACTTTTAAACGAATACAAAAATATAAGGAGAGTAAAGCAATAAACTAATAACGCATCAGTTTTTAGTATGAACGTTTTAGTGATTTTTTACCAATAGCACTAAAAATTTTATTACAGTAATACTACATGGGCTAAGATTCTAAACAATTTTATGTGACGTCACCCAAATTGCCAAATAGCAATAATATTTGCCGCCATATGAAAATGACATTAACTCCGATGGAAAATTTTCCCAAATCCCGTCGTATCCATAATTTGGTGCCGAAACAGTTTGGGATACATCACTAGTCTAAAGGTAGTGATCCAAATCGTTAGTTGAAAAATCAACTAATACAGTAATAGATTAGAAATTAAATCTTCAACTAGTTTGATTCCGAAATACTCCGTCTATTTGGGCTAATCCGTGTTGTTTTCTTTAATCTGATCGGCTAATCAACAAATTTAACCACATGATATGGAAAATCGATTGGTTGTCAACTATAGTTGGCAACTAAAATTTCACCAACTCGGAACATTATCTAAAGGCACAACTTTAAAACTATTACGTAGATACTTGTGTGATTCAATATTAATTTATTTCGAAAATAGGTCTAATTTTCTATTATGAAAAAATTAAATAGGTATACCGGCAAACGATTATATATACTTTAAAAAAAATAGGATTTATAGATCTCGTATTTTGAAGTAAATGTGTCACTGAAATCGGATACTAAATCATTTATTTTGAATCACCCTACTTAAAGAGGATATATTAATACAGTATTAGGTATTTTAATTTGGCAAATCTTAATATTAGTCATGAGTAATATATGCAGAAAGTAAAAAGTATTAATATAAACCTTACTAAAATTCTTTTAATGTCAAAAGACAATTACATTCATATAATTTTATATGCTAAAAATTTGCAATCTTGTGATAAATTTTGACCCTTGATTGTAATATTTTTCAAAATTTGGCCCTTATATGTACTTATCGTGCAAACTCTTATGATCATAGATTTTTTCTTCTTGTTATTTTTTGTACGTTATTATTAAAACTCAGTTAGCCAAAAATGACTTGAAAATCATGATCATAATTGCACGATAACATCGATATTGGATCATGCGATGATAAATATCATGACCAATATCTTATAAATATTTTCACTTTTGGCCCTTATTTGTAATTAATTTTATTTTTCGGGCCTTATATGTAAATTCCCCAAAAAAAGTTTCAACATAGCCGTAACCTTGGTCACTATCAAGTTCGCAGGGCATAAATCAGTTATACACTGGGTTCTATGTTTTTAAGCGGAAATTTAATTTCCGGTTTATACTCATGACACTCGGTGTACGTATAAATATTTGATAAATATTACCAATTTCAATTATAATAATACGTACGTACGTAAACTTAAAAACGGAAAAAGGTTATTCGATCTAGGTGCCTGAAGCAAAATCTTATTATATGACCATATATTTGCCAATTTAGTAAAATAATTACTGAACCGATTTACTATAGAGAAAACTTATTTCTTTTTCGGAATCATAATTATTTTCCAAATTCCGTCAAATGTAGGGCTACGTGTAACTTGCATTAAAAAAACATTTAATTTAATCCAAATATGGTATTGATCAAAGAAGTATACTGTATCTACGCCGAGTAAAAATCAAAAAGCCATTTGTGTGGCACAATAACGAACTTTTTTTTATTGGTTAAGATCACAAGTTACTCCTTTTATTTAGATTCCTTAATTTGGAAATAAATATCTTCACAATGTTATACAAAAAGGTTATTATGCGCAATCGGACTTTTCATTCATCTACATTTACTTAAATCGACTAAAATCGACTAAAAATCTCGAAAAAAACAAAAATACTTTTTGATCTTAATTTTTCGATATAAAAATTTCTTGAAATTAAATTTTTCGATATTAATTTTCGATATTTTATAAAATGGTTTATATATCAACCATCTCAATTGAGGATGATCCTACAGTTAAAGATGTAACCTATTCAGGTTTTAGCATGCAAAGTATGAGAAAAGCTCTTGAATCTAGCGTTGAAAAATTTTGGCAATGCATAGAAGTCCAATCTAATGACTATAAGATCAAAGAAGAAACTGAAAACATTAACATACAACGTGAAAAATTTCGCTTATTTACTGAAGATTCTATTCAACAAAGTCATGAAATACGAAAATACGTTTCGAATTTACGATTAATTATTAAAGGTTTCTCCGATCAACCTGTTTCTGATGATAATTTTAAAGAATTAGAATCTTTATTGGATGTTACTAAGCGTAATTTGGAATCTGCTGTATTGTTGAGGGGTCAAGCAAATAACATTAAAGATGAATTAGTAAAAATCAGAAATAATCTTTATGAATATAAAAATGTTATTCAAAATGATCCAAGTCAAATTAAATCAAAGACAAAAGACGAGTTAGACGCTGCTGAACATGAAATCAAATCTTCTACCAAAGCTATCGCTGCCGGTTCCGCTGCTGCAGGAATCGGGACTGCGTTGACTGTAGCTTCTATAGTTCTTGCTCCGTTTACTGCTGGTGCTAGTATTGCTATAGAAGCTGCTATAGCTGGTATTGTTGGAGGTTCAGTTGCCATAGGTAGCGGTGTTGGTGAGTGAATTACTACTAAATATTACCTTTTTTTTTTTTTGTATACAGTATTCGCTTTAGATTATGTATTGAATTATGTATTGAAGAATTGTTTCTAATACCCATATTTATTTAACCAGGTGTTGCCATAAAAGAAGGAATAAAACGACCGAATAAAAAGACAAAAAGTCATGGTATCAAAGAGAAATTAGAAGAAGAAAAGAAAGGATTAACAACGATTATCGAGAAAATGGAAAAAGATCTTGAATCAATCGTTATGACAATTGGCCAACTTGTTGGATATTGGGAGAATCAGTCAGAAACCATTTCTAATCTTTTAGAAAAAGTAACTGAAGCAAAAAATAACGGGAGACCTAACAATTTACTTATCAGGACTATTGAAAAATGTTCTAATGAATTGGAATTAGATGAACTTTATGCTAAAGATTTCTGTGTCACAATTAGAGGTTTATTGGCAAAAGATCAGACAAGAACCAGAAGTGTATGTTTATAAATTTTTAATTTGTTTTCATTATTTATTATCCATTACTAATTCTTCAAATTTATTTTATATTCATTTATAATAGATTGATTAAAATAAATTCATCATTCTTAGATGTGTGAAAAATTTTTAAGATTTGCCAAGAAATTTATGAACTTAGAAAAATTCAACCCATTAAACGCATTAAGCTTAATTTTATCTTAATCATATACCTGTTTATGATTCGTTTATCTTATCTTACTATTATTTAGGATATACGTAACCAATTTTATTTATTTACTTTTTTTTGAACAAGTTAATGAGATTATCAACATCGTTAAGTATTTCTACCATTTATATTTGCGATTAAGTTTTTCTACTTTCGATGCGCTGATTTTCTCTCAAGTTTTCTACATTCTTTACATCTTTGTTTTTAAATTTGTACAATATATGTATAATTAATGAAATTAGAAAAATTAAAAAAAAAAAATGTAAAAAATTTTTAGAAATTTTGGTTTTAAAAGCAAAATGGATTCAAATTTTTTTATTGAAGCAATAGCTTTGTTTATAAAAAGATGAAAGCATTAGAGAAAGTAATTGGAAAGTCATCTATAATGATACTTTGATATCTTTTACATCTTTATCAGTTGGTTCGAAAAAATCGAAGCGTCTGCAGAAAAGTTTTGTGAAACGCCTTTAAAACCTAATTTATTAATTTTCACAACTTTATATGTGATAACAATTAAATAAAGAAACGAAATTTACTTTGAATAAAATTAACCAAACTTCTAAAAGTACATAAAAATATTGTGTCCTAAGTAGTTTCTACTTGAATCATCAAATTTTTATTTAATTATCTTCCCCTTGCAATCAAAAAATTAGCAACTACAGATATGTTATGCGAATGCGCCAAAGAAAATGAGGTAGGTTCGAACTTTCATCATTCATTATCATTTATCAGATTCAATTCATGAGAGACATGTGATAATCTAATAATAGGGCCGTGTTTGGTATGCTAATCTGTCCGGACATATTGTCCGGACATATTCCGCCTAATAATAGTAATAAAGGAGAATGAAATTAAAAATGTTTCAAATTCAATTGCTACATTTTTGATAACAATGAAAAATAACAGTTACCGTTACGTCATTTCCTTTACAGGCCATTTACTCGACATCACACAGGTGACAATTTACTGCGCCTAATCAAATGATGTGGTGGCTGAGAATATGCCAAGAGAAGTAGATTTTCCAAAAAAAATAATAATGTGTGTTTAACAGAATGACTATTGATATCGGAAAAATTGAGTGGCTACCAAGAATAATAACGAATTAGCGTTAAATACTGTGACATGTAATTCTATAATTGGAGTCAAATCAAAATTTTGCTTTAACGTTAATGCAGTATTGGGCATTACAGCTTACGTCATGGTGACATGGATTTTCGGGAATGTTCTACAAGAATCGTGTAATGTAAATTCTGGATGTTTACTGAATTAGTACATTCATGCACATATATATGACAGCCTCAATTTTTTACATGAAACCTTTTCTTAATCTGGAAACTTTTACTTAAATTATCGAGAGTGCAAATATTTTTTCACATTCGTTTATTAATAAAAAAAAATGGTTTATATATCCACCTGCTCAACTGAAGATAATCCAACTATTAAAGATGTGACTTATTCGGGTTTTAGTATGCAACATATGAGAGATAGTATTATTTCTAGTGTTAAAAACTTTTGGCAATGCATAGAAGTTAAATCAAATGATTATAAAATTCAAGAAGAAACTGAAAATATTAACTCTCAACGTGAAAAATTTCTATTATTTATTGAAGATTCTATTCAACAAAGTCATGAAATACGAAAATACGTTTCTAACTTACAACTAGTTATTAAATGTTTCGTTGATCTACCCATTTCTGATGATAATTTTAAAGAATTAGAATCTTTATTGGATAATACTAAACGTAATTTAAAATCGGCTGAAATATTGATGAATCAAGCTGATAATGTTAAAAATGAAGTAGTAAAGATCAGAAATAATCTTAATAAATATAAAAATGGCGTTCAGAATAATCCAAGTAACATTAAATCGAAGACAAAGGATAAATTAGATATAGTTGAAGGTGAAATTAAATATTCAACCAATGCAATGATTGCTGGTTCCACTGCCGCAGGGATCGGTACTTTGTTGACTGTGGCTGCTATAGCCCTTGCTCCATTTACTGCTGGTGCTAGTATTGCTATAGAAGCAGCTGTTTTTGGTATTATTGGAGGATCCGCTGTCGCAAGTGGTGGTGCTGGTGAGTAAACCATTAATGAATTTTGTTCGTCAATTTATGTAAATTATATAATAAATTGGGTATACGTTAAAAATTATTTCTAAATACTACTTATATTTATTTGTTCAGTTGTTGCCGTAAAAGAAGGAATAAATAGGACAAATAAACTGACTAAAAGCGATGATATTAAAAAGAAATTAGAAGAAGAAAAGGAATTATTAACAACTACTATCGAGAATATGGAAAAAGATCTTGAATCAATCGTTGTAACAATTGGACGACTTATCGGATATTGGGAAACTCAAGCATCAATCATTTCTGATCTTTTAGATAAAGTTAACGCAGCAAGAGATGATGGGAAACCTAATAATTTACTTGTTGGAGCTATTGATAAATCTTTGAGAGAATTGGAATTGGATGAACTTTATGCTAAAGATTTCTGTGTCGCAGTTCGAGGTTTATTGGCGGAAGATCAGGCAAGGTTTAAGGGTGTATGTAATTTAACATTTTAATATATTCTTTCTCTAATTAATTCCGTCACTTCCTCCTTATTAATTATTCTTGTATTTATTCTATAATTATGATTTTAGGAATAAATAAATTCGTTATCTTATATTGTAGTACTGTAGACGTGAAAATTTTTAAGATTTGCTGGGTCATTTTGAAATTTGTGAATTTAACCCATTAAGCTTTAATTTTATCTTCGTATTATATCCTTTATGATTTAGTTATCCTTAATATTGCTTAACATATAAGCAATAAATTTATATCTTTATTAGTAGTTGTAAGTTGAATATATATATCGATTTTTTTTTGAAATAAATACGTTGATGAAATTATTTAAGACGATTTTAACATCATAAATTAACAAGCCAACAAATTTTATTATTTATCATCTTACTTTTTGTCCAATGCTTAAGCACATTCGAAATTTATTTCTATCCCTTAAACCGTTTTGCAGGCAAATTTTCCTGCAAAATTTTGATCAGAATGTTCTTTGCTAGAACAATTTACAGTATTGGCGTTATTTTGTGGCTCAGCCCGAATTAAGCTTAATTTAGGCCGAAATTCATAATTTCACCCCTGCGCGTTATTTCGCGGTAATACGGTACGTAAATTATTATGCCAACCTCAATAAGATTAATACTAGGCGTACTACTTGCGTAGAGCTTTTAGCCGATACTACTTTTGATCATTGTGAATGGCGTCCTACCTTTATTTTCTCTTTAGTTTAGTGAAATAGTCCTTACAAAAGTCATGTACATACATATATCGCTCGAGATGCTACTGGTTGTGACATTTATTGAAATTCTACTGTTTTAAAGTTCCGATATCCGACAAATTTTAAACAACGCATCCATAACTTGATTAGATCATTTAAATACATGACTTTAACGGGGTAAATATGTGCGATTATTGGATAAATTTTTGCAGGTAAACTCGCCTGGACCTTACGATTTAAGGGATAATACCTATATAATAAACTGGACCATTACATTTTGCATTTTTAAGAAATACTGCATTATTACTTGATTTTTGCTCCTTGTTTAAATTTTGTGGCAGTTGACGGTAAAATATATTGTATTCTTTCGGATCATGTATATTAGTTATTTCATGTTTTTCCTAGTAACATAATTTCGATTAGGTAGTAGCTTTCGCATTATAAAATAAGATCGTAGCAGATTGATGAAATAATATTTTTTTCAAGATATTTATTGATCAAATTGTTAAAAAATTATATTCGAAAATAAAAATAAAAGTATATTAAAAATGCGATTACTTTAAATAGATATTAGAAGATATAATATAATTGCTTAGTTGTATAAAATTTTTTTATCGCTTATATTTCAAGATTAAAATTAAGTTAATTTCGATAGATATTTCATCTGATTAGTATTGAAATAACTCGCCTATACAAGATTGTGATATACGTGTACTGTTATAAATGTGAATTAAAGAAAAATTGATTTCTTTAAATGGACTTTGTGAACCATTTTTAAATCTTAGTTATTGTATCCTTTTTCATAAATATGTTATGCTTTGTACAAATGGAGAATTGGTATAAAATAATCTATTTTGTTTGTTAACATGTATAAAATCCTTTAGCAAGTTTAGCATTACATGGTTTTTTTATATAAATAACACTAGTGTGACTTATTGCACTACTTCCTGGAAGAAATAGAAGACTTTGCTAGCCCTGTTTAGAGTCAAACTTTAATTTTTTCTATTTAAATCTTGATAAAAAAGCTGTATCATTAGTTTATTTCTTTATTAAAACAAATATTTTACTTTTATAAAAAAAGAAAAAATATAGAGTAAAAGCTAAAAAGGAGTATAACTATATAATCTAATTATAAAATAATAAAGATGAAAAATCAAAGAAAGGCCAAATATGGGCCAACAAACAAGAAAAAAAAAACCTATTAAAAACAAATAAAAGCACTATTATACACATGTTCAAATTTGTTATTGTGTAACAATTTATTCTTATTATTATAAATATCAAAGCAATTCATTGATTCTTATCAATGAAACTTTGATTGAAAAAGATTTTAATAGTACCAGAAGATATGGTAATTATATTTTTTTTCATTTAATAGTGTTGGCATTACTTACAAAGCTATTATACATATTAGTCACAAGGAAAACCTGCTCATGAAGAAACTGAGAGAACAGAAACACTGAGAATGTTTGTAATGCCAATGCCTGCAATGCCTGTAGATTAATCGCTTTTTTTTTTTTTTCTGTAAATTAATAATTTAGTTTTAACCAAATTTACTATTCTAGTATTCTTTAGAGTCTGACATTTCCATGGTTGACATGCAAACCTACTCAGATATAATAATGCAAATGTCAGATTCAGCTATGAGAAATATAATAACCAGAGCCATGTTTTCTATTTTTGCTTAGAACAGCCAGGTTTTTATTTATTATTATTATATTTCTTTCTATTTCTTTCTTTATTAACATAAATTGATAAATTAAGTTAAAGCTTTAAGTCAATGATATGTATAAAATTTAATATACTTAATTAATTAGTATTATTTGTACTAACTATGTTTTAAATTAATTTAGAGCTTATATAGCAAATGCAATATCTTTACTATAAAGCTTTGTTTAATATATAAATTTTCTTTCTAACTATATAACCATTTTTAGATATTTTTTAATTAAAAACCTTGTCATATGGAGTAGCACTATATCTAATCTGTTGACAAACAAAATATAGAATTGCAATTTACTAGATTATCAAAATTTAGAAGAAGTAAATAATATTAATTTCTGACAGAAGTAAGCTGTTTTGTCTATTTTTTATAAAAATTTTGTTATAATAAAGAATATAAACCTTATTTTACTTTTAAAAGAGAATATATTTTTTTCTAAAAGTAATAAATATATAGAGCCAAATGCATTTCTGGTTTTCTTTTTGGTAAGTAATAAACTCTGAGCTTGTTAGTAAGTAGTATATAAAAACTATTTCTAAAGAACAAGTGCTTGTCATTATAGTAAGTAATAAATTTCAAGTCTACTAGTAAATAATATATAAGAACTATAACTAAATAATAGGTGCTAGTTTATAATTCTTTTTAGTTTTATGCTCTTTTTTTTAGCATAGTTTATTACTTTGTCAGAAAAGTTTTGTTGAGAATTTTGGAATAAAGAAATATTAGAAAGAATTAAAGATAAATATATAATAATAATAATAATAATAGTAATAATAATAATAATAATAATAATAATAAATAATTACAATAATAAATAGGATATTGCTAACTTACTCTCTGGTAATTTAACCACCCCACAATTTACCAATTATGTCACAGAATCTTGTGTAACAAAATAAGAAATTTTTAAAAAAATTTAGAAAAAAATTAAAAAATTAACAATATTACAAAAATTTTATTATAAGAACTTGTTATGAGCTATTAAGTAAAAGTTTTTAGCATCTAATTTTGCATATAAATAAGCTACAAGTTAACTTAATATAACCAATATTCTAATCTTAATCTTTAAAGAATATTTATTTATATAAAAAAATTCTATAAAAATAAAGGGTGATTAAATTTAACTAATTTTAATTAGGGTTAAAATTAGTTAAATTCTAATAAATAATACTAATTTACAAAAGTAAACTAATTAATAATTTGTTATATTAAAGTTTTTTAAAATGTAAAAAAGAATTTATATATTTAAACAAAAGGTTACAAGAAAAACAGATTTAGCTTTATTAATATAATTAATACAAATAACAAAATATTAATATAAATACAATTTATACTAATAGAAAACAAATAAAAATATCTATAGTATTGCTAAAATATAGATTTTTTAATTTAATATTTATATTGTATTTAATCTTTAATTAATTTATTCAAATAATATAATTCATTATACA